GTTTACAATAATGGAACAAAGCTGAGATAAAAAATTGAACCATAAAATTCTGTTTCTAAATTGAAATTCATAAAAATCAGTACCACTGTTGCTTATCAAAACATGCCACTTACTGCGAACTTACCTTGACCTGCTGTAAAAGCAATTATGCTGAACAACAAGCAGCAAAAATACATTGTTCCTCACTTGCACCTCGACTACAAGCCGAAATAATGTCAAGTTAGTTGGCTTTGGGTTTAAATAACCATCAGTATTGTTTTGCCACCTAAATTTAGCAAACTCTGTTGCCTATTGACACGCCTTCGTTGTGAAGATCAACAATGTGATTGTTCAACAGATAAAGCAATTGTCATTGTTCCATAGCCTACTTCACCCCTACGTGTGTCCACTTCAAGTGGTTCCGCAGGCTTTCACTGTCTTTTACTCCAAATACCATATCATTTTTCCTTGTTAATCGCTAGTGTAAAACTTTTTTGTTCACTGTTTTGGTTTTTGACTTCTCCCAATAGGCTACTAATCTTCTGAATCACAGTGATGGCTGTAAGCGTACCACTGCTGATAAGATCTGAACCCTACACCGTTTTGAAACTAAATTTTCTCATAAAGTTGTGTATAACTTGATTTCTTTTTATCTCAAACTGCAGTAGCATTTTTGTATAAAATAATGGGAACGAGTATTTTGGTGTTTCCAGATAGCACTAAAATAGTCAACTTTTCACGCCTCAGTGGTAGTCAAACATTTGGCAACAATTCTCTTTTGTACTATAGCCTAAATAAGTTGCGGGTTTTTGTAGTTTATGTCCCACAGATTCACTTAGCATAACAGAATCACGCCAAAAATACGGCAGAAATTCCATTTTTCTTGCCGTTAAAAAAATACCCTTGTTTTGAAGTTCTAAAGGGTCACATTTTTCTGCTACTAGAATATCATAACAGCTAGCAGGGATACTAAAACTAGCACCTAACACTTTAGAAAACAATATAATTGACAACAAATTATGACACAGAAAACCCTCTGGTCTTTCAGAAAACAGTCCTTCACAAAGGCAGCAAAACGTTTATGTATACTGTTTTAAGTGTCTTCTTTGTTCAAACAGACGTGTGGAGCAAACAGCTTCTTCAACTTGTGAAATTTTATTCATAATTTCTGAAATATTTTAGTTGATTTATTCTTTTCAGTTAAACCAATTTGTTCTGTGCATTCACACAACCTGGCGCAGCATATAACTATTATCAATCTACAAAAACCGATAATTTATAAACCTGTTTTCTTTATCACTCTTTTTGCAGTTGGTTTACCTTTTAACAATGAAGCAAATATTTTGACCTTCAAAGCAAGTTTTAGTTTAAATTTTACCCTTTTAAGAAGTGCATCATTTAGTAGGGTTAAGTAGTTGAGTGCAATTTCTTGTTTCAACTTTTATTCATCTTCTTTACCTATGTTTCATGATAAAAAAGCGAAAAAAAACAAGAAACTTACGTCATTTTGCTTATCGACTATCGTTCACTTTTTTTGACACTCAAATTCATTTGGGGAGTAAACTATTCATTTCCGGAAAAAGCAGAGACCGGAGAACTTCAATTAGTTTCTTGAGCTGTACAGTATTTTTCATGCATGTCTGCTGACAACTGCTATGTACTGATTAATACACCAGACGCATTTTTTAATTAGTAAAGTATGTAATGAAGAAGTACAAGATAATGTGTCAAAGAGCCGATTCAGAAAAGAGATGATATTTCTAGTGTTGTTTTCGATCACTTTTAACGAATCACTTGTGATGTCAACTGATGTTAAAGACAAAGTTTTATGCTATGCTGGTAAGGAAAAAAGCTAAGTGAATGATTGTGAACAGTTAACAAACTACAATTTCATTTTTGATCAATTAATTTGTGGAAGACAGTTTCTTGCGGCTTTTCTGAAGAAAAATTAAATCAACGTCTTCCAACATATTACTAATTTTGAAAAGTATGGACCTCATTTAGCAAGATGTTGCTAGTAAGCGTAAGACAATAAAAGTGAATACTTGAATAGCCTAACAATCATTGTCTCGTTAATGATCACCTCAACAACTTCTCTACTTTTTGATAAGGCCTCTCTTAAATAATTTAAAAGCAAAGAAAATTGCATAATTTTTAAAGATTATTGACTTATTTCTTATAATTTTTCACCCTCTTTAACTGTTTCTTCTTTTCCCATTCTTTTCGGTTTTTCTTTGCTCTGCGTTTTCACTGTAACAAGAAAAAAAAAAGTACTGAGATTTCTTACAACTTTCGTAACGTTTCTGATCTCTGAAGCATGGGGAAAGTAAACAACTTTTAGCGCCACCAAGCATCTGCTCAAAGTGGAAGTGAAATGACAAAGTTTAGATGTTACTTTGTCAAACTGAGTTCATACTCTGTTTATCAAATTTTGCATTTGTATTTGTTTCAGAGTTTAAGTGAACAACTAAATAAAGTGATCACTACGAATAGAGGGTAGTAAATTTGTTGGTCAGAGCAATGTTAATGAAAGTAAAAAGTGAAACCGATTGATCATAAGTCGTTTGGCTTTTAACCATTCGCTAATTGCACCAGACACTATTAGCTGATTTTCAAATGTCAGAAATTAATCAAAATTGTTGTAAGGAGAAAAAAAATTTTTTTGAAAAATCAAATTATGTTTGTGTTTCTTTCAGACTGTTCAAACGACGTTTCAAAAAAAAAAAAAGAACTATTTTTTGCTATCATTTCATTGAAAGCGAAATCAGAAAAATATTAAAGAGTGGGAAAGAAAAAGACAGTTGAAAAACACGCAGAAAACAAAAAAAAGAAAAAAACGCTTCTTCCACATGTTTTTCGACTGTCTTTTTCTTTTCCGCTCACCGCTATTTTTTTGTCTTCATCAAAGTAGTGGGAGAGAAATCATGAAAAAAAAGTTATTGCAGCTAATCCTGAAAATGGTGTTAAAAGTTTTTCTCTGGATGACTCAAAGGGTACAGAAGTGTCTGGTTTTTTTTTAGTTTCAATCTGTTCAAAACTTAGAAGCATTTTGGTGGAATTTATCTGCCAGAAATATGAAGCATTACCAGAGTAACACTTAAGAATTTTTAGGGTTATCAGGAAAAGGCGCTGTTATAACAGGTTGTTACCATAGAATAATATAGTATACTCAAAAAAGTATATGTGTACAAAAAAAAACCTTAAAAAAATTTGCCACTTTGTAGCTATGACAGTTGTTTTTGTACTTCCATAAAAGAATCTTTTATAAAAAAAAAAAAAGTTTAGTTAACAGGTAACATAAAAAGGTTTTTTTTGATTTGATATATGTTGCAATTTTACTTTAATCACTTACAGCTGAGTATAGTTTTTCTTTTATACATAAATATAACAGCGAGTACTGTACTCTTATTTTTTCACATACTAAGAAAATTTTTTTCTTTCCTACTCAGTTTGAAACAGCAATTTCATATGTACAAAACTAAAAACTAGAGAAGCATTGCCGGTTACACGTGTTTTTCCACTCAAAAAGAAAAGCTGTTCAAAAATTTAAGTTTATAAACTAAAAAATAAGAACAATTATTAAACGAATTTAGACGGTAGCTGCTGTTAAGAGAATGATCAAAAATAAATATTCACCAAACAGAAGTGTTTTAAATCAGATATTTTGTTTGCTAAATGTACAGTTAATGATTATAACCAAGTTATTTATCAATCACTATTTTTTTGTTGTAAATCTTTGCCGATCCATCAATGTTTGTTCAAATTTGCATCAATTGCTGTCAGTCCAGTATAAAAATTTAAAAAAAGTTGCATATAGAATAAAAATGCTTATTCTTTTGACAACTAAGTATACTTCTCCATTTTATTCTTTAATTTCCAAATATTTACCAGTTTCAGGCTCTTCTCTTTTAAATATCGCAGTTAAAACAGTAGTATTAAAAACATCTTTTTTTTTTTTTT